TAAAATTCGCAGACCAATCAAACTCAGTAAATAACAGCTCATTATTAAAATATTTATTAAAATATAAAAGATGAGGAATTGTGGAATGCAATATAAACAAAAAATAGGTATAATTTATTATATGCATGATAAAATTTGCAAAAAGAATTATCACATACTTATGATCATGAATAAGAGTGATTTGAACACATGCACTTTCATATAAATATTTATATATATATAATTATAGTTATATATAGTTGTTTTCTACGATACCATGAACAAATAAAGGTAGGCACCAATCTCATGAAATCTACTGATATGATATTAATTTAAATGTAATTTTAGAAAGGTAAAGTGCAAGAAAAAGATAAAATTATGATTGCATGATTTAATCAAATATGCAACAAAAATTTTGCAGCAATAAAACAAGGCATCTAATTATTTCATTATAAGCAACAAATAAATCCTATAACAAATGCAAAAAAGAAATACATGAAGTAAAATGGGCAGAACCGGCAATCCTACAAGGTAATTATAAATTTGGTACAAATAATAAGGATTAATGCCCCTAACGACAAAAGGCGCGTTAATACTCTAATAAATAAAACTTACTGAGTTTAATTGGTCAAACCCAAACTCACTCGTTAATATTTATATCTAAGAGATTCTATTCAGCTACCTGCAGCACCATCTATGTTGGAGCAAACTTTCTAGTTTTAGATTTCTTTTGTGTACTTTTTTAATTTTGTTTTAGCATTTGTATTTTCCTTTCTGGGTCTGAGTAATTATTTTTATTGTTATTTCAGTTTCTTTCAAATATTTCTTTATTTTCTTTAGTTGTATGACTCTTGTTTATAAAATGAAATAAAATATCTTTTTTTAATTATTTTTATCAGTGTTTCTGTACAATTCTTTCTTTTGAGAACACAAAACAGGTTAACATCTTTTTATTATGTCATGCATTGTTGATGTGTAACGTCTTCTAGACCCGAGATGTGGCAGAGTAGTATCTAAGCATTACACCCATTTGAAGATAGAAATGTATGTTAGGTTGATGATTATGGGTTAAAGGAGCAGAAGAGGACGTCGGTTACTTAAGTGAGGGAGATTATGAAACCACTTAAGTGAAGTTGAACTTTTAAACATCAAGGTGGTTTTTTGGTGTAATGGTGGAATTTTGATAGAAATTCAAAAGTTAAGTGTGATCGTGCCGAACCACTTTTAGAATGGGTGACCTGGAAAGTTACATCAATAAGGCAAAACTATGAGGCCATTAGGCTAAAGCAGACAATACCTTCACGGGTGAGATTCGAGTTGTTCCAAATGGTATCAAAGTATTATACCAAGCGGAAGATGGGAACGAAGTGTCATACAAACCAAAGTATTACGCCATGGGAGCCACCTCTTTAACCTAAGATGGGAGAAAAATGTTATATGTTGAAAGTCACCTCTTGAATATGTAAGGAGGCACCTCTAGAATCCTACCTACCTGATGAATGATTTTGGGAAAGAAAACTAACGAAGACATCAACTACTTAAGTGAAGGAGAATGTGAAATCTCTTAAGTAGAATGAAGTCGAACTGTTAAACATCGAGACGTCTTTTGGTGTAATTGTAGAATTTCATTAGAAAACTTCAAAGTTAAGTGTGCTTGCATGGAAATACTTCTAAGAGTGACCTCCTGGGAAGTTCAATAGCTCGGAAAAACCATGAGGTCGTTAGGCCAAAGCGGACAAATGGTGAGAACTCGGGTTGCTGCACTATAGCTCCATGAAATCTATGTTACAGTGCAACACACGTCATTAAGCATAATGGCCTATATAGTAGGAACCTCAAACAATCTTCTCCAATGTACAAATACAACAAAAATGACACTTACTATACCATCTAATGCTACTAATAATAATTGTATTAATGATAAATCAACAAAACAACACTTCCACATAATAACGACAACAAATGACATGACAATCACCATATAAAGACTAAAACAAAATAAGTAAATGTTCTGAAGCTCTTTTTGATATGACTTTTTTAAAATGTTAAATCAACCCTAAACAATTGGAAAGAAGTTTCCTCTATAAAATTGATGTAACCAATACAATAACATTAAGTTTTAACTCGAATTCTCCATTGAAATGCATATCGTGGAGTGTTTAAGTAAAAAAAGATTTGCAAATGTAAATACCTACTAAACTGGATCCATATTTCTTACCATTAGATGAGTCTGTCATTATCCATTCTTCATAAATCTTTAATTAGTTACTAATTAAATGCCATAAAAAGAAGGGACACAATGATAACTTTGATGGTAATCAATTGATCTAACGTTCATATGTTATCATGTCAAATTTAGTGTAGCAGAAAATTAAACATAGATTAAAGCATAATTAATATCAGCATATTTAGATGCTAGAATGCTTTGTACCATACTTGTTGCATATTTTTTATTGTTCTTGTCAACTAAATGTTTTGCAAGTGATTAAAGTTTGTGAGTGTGTTGTGTCGATAACATTACAACTACTTGTAGATAATGATGATATGGATCAACTAAATCAGTTAGTCATAAGAGTAAGATGTCTATGATACCATGCAAATCAATGGTGGTTAGTGACATCCATGGAGTCAAATACTAAGAACAAAAGGAAAAGTCCACAATAAGTTGTGGGACAAAGAATAGTGCATCATTCAGACAACTCTATAGTGTGTACCAATAATAATATGTTGGGGCCGTAGATACATCAAAAATATAAATAGATCCCTACTGATAATTAAATTATCCTTCTCAAAAAAAAAAAAAAAAAAGACTCACTAACTAGGATATCATATAGTGGGTGTTATGGTGCAAGTATATCTTCCTGCTCGGGAGAGGTAAGCTCAATATTCACAACAAATAGAATTTGATCATTAGAGTAAATCTTCCACAGGGAAACTGGATTATAAGAGAGTAAATCGTCCAAAGTTGTGGAAACACAAATCAAAAAATGAATTCCAAGGTAGGAAGAAGTGGTTATAGTCGATTGCAAGAGAAGTGAGCTAGAAGATGCCTTGTAAAGTGGAGCACCATTCCTTGTTTTGTGGGAGTGGTGGAGGATGGTGGTTTGAATACTTTTAGCAGTTGATTTAGCTTTCTTTTGATGGCTTATATCACGGGGGAATGAAGTAGGGTCACGTTATTGGAACCTTCCTTAGCCTAGCATCCATCATTTAGTGGTCGGCCAAATTGAATAAGCCAAGCTAGGAAGATCACTTGCATGTCTCATGCCATTGGAATATTAATAAATATCCTCCAATCCAATACAACAACATAAAGTGTACTTAATAAACCACCTAAATCTACTGATTACAACTATAACACACTTGATTTTATGATAATGACAAATCATCATGAAAAATGTTGTGGATCCATACATCACAATCTCTGCATAAAGTCTAAACTATTTAAAAAGCAATAATAAAGCAAATGTTTTAAATGTTTTTTTTTTATATGACTCCCTTGATGTGGGACATCATTTATCTTTCTGGTAACTAGAGTATCCAATATATCAAAATAATGAGCATATCATTGTATCACTAAATGATCTAAAGAAGACAGCACAGCCACAAGAAATACAAATCCAAACAATTTTCACATTTTTTTACTAGTAATAATGATAATAAAATACTAATCAAAAAGGAATTTGAATGTTTAAATAACCTTACTATAAAAATAAGAAAGGAAACAAAATTTTCTTGCTTTATGAATTATATAAGCATAACGATTAAACGCTGAATCTTAAAGAGATCTAATTCAATCAAAAGTTGGAAGAGCCATGGTGTTGAGAAGTTTCAACTTATAGGAAAATTTTATATGCCAAGAAATTGACAGAGGAATCATGACATAGTTTACAACTTTACACGCTAAAAAAAGTCTTTTTATTGTCAATGTATACTTGTAAACATATTAGCAATTATTTAAAACAATAAGGTGCATAGTCACAATTTACAATTATCTGTAGCGCGCGCCTCTAGGAGAACATAGAGTTGTAAATCATTCAAGTGAAGTCAAGTACTATCTTGCTCAAACTTGTTCCATTATTTTTTTATTAAGTTCCAAGCCGAGCTTAAACATGATCCAAAATATAAATTCTAGTTCAAGCTTATTCAGTAATTTTTCTATCTAATTCAAATAAAAATGGAGCTTTATTTGAGCCAAACTAAAGATATGTTCATGCCTAATGATTTAAAAACTTACATAATTATTATTAAGTTTAATGAAATTTAATTAAATTTGTAATAACAAACTACATATAATTGATGATTTTTTAAGTTCAATTTAGAAAAAACGATTTTAATCAATATATCTAATTATTTGTTTAATTGTTTGATCATACTTATACCTCATGGCTCATATAATATATAAAAATTTCTTAAGTGTTTATCATATGGAAAATGAATACAGAAGATAAAATGAATTAACAGATAATTAATTAAATGAACATTAAATGATCATTTGATAGAGTTCTTACTAGCTGTTTGATGGCAAATTTATTGAACTTTGTGAATTCAAATTTACTAAATCCTACCAACACCAGGATTTAGTAATTCAGGATTTCAGAAAACTAAAAATATTTTCAAAAAGAAACTAGACTTACTGAATCGATATTTTAAAAGTTGTCATTTTTCCGTATAGCAAAATTTAAGTTGAATCCAACCTAAACCCATTACCAAATAGTCCATTTGGGCTACATGTTAATGTTTATGAAGAAAAATGAATGATCGGGTTCAATGTTTAAGCTTATTCATATATTAAGTTCTTAAAATTTTGTTCAAGCTAGTTCAATTACTAATATAAACAAACATAAATGTGACTTTTATACACACAAATGTTGAGCTTCTTAATGAGCGCACTAATTTGCATAAAGCCCTAGGAAAGCATTCAAGGTTAACGAGTTTAGCTATCTTATCTAATGTCATGAATAAAGAAAGGTCGTAAAAACAACTATTTCAAATGAACTAATTGAAACTCACCAACATACCTGATGAGCAAAAACACGTGCCATAATAATGTCATTATAACGAGAAAGCACTCGAGCAACATCACGAGTCTCCTCCCGTTTTCCCATTTGTATATCATCGGGCCCTAAGTATATGGCATGCCCACCAAGTAAAGAGAACCCTGCCTCAAATGAAACACGAGTCCTCATAGATGGCTTCGAAAAAATCATTGCCATGGTCTTCCCTTTAAATGGTTGGAATGTTCGATCTCCCGACTTCAACATTGCTTTGACTTCAGTGGCATTTTGAAGGATTTTCATTATTGTTTCATTGTCAAAATCACTAATATGAATAAAATCCTTCAATCGTGTTTTTTCTGCAAAAATTTGGAAACAAAGCTCCAAAGTTAAATCATACAATTTCCCCCAAGAAAAAACCCATGTAAGTGCATATATGTGTTATACTTCCATTGTGTTGAATTGCATTATATTTATGAACAAATAACTTGGCATTTACATAAAGCCAAAACAAAATGAGTAAATCTAGAACTTTAGCACAAGTGATAAACTTATATTCATTCAAAGAAATTGCATCAAAAAATATCCTTTGAAAAAAAGAAGATTCCTAAACTCATATCCAATTCATGGAACCCATAAGATTTCAAAACTCGAATCCAATTCATGGAATCCATACAAATTGTTGAGTAGAAAAACTGACTGGCAATGTCTAAAAAAAGAAGCTTTGGCTTTCAAACAATACCAAGAAACTGTATTGCAATCCAAAAACTGCCTATTTTTATTGGGCTTTAACTGTAGCACCCTTAATGCAAATTTACATACAAAACCCAAACAAGCTCAAAAAAAACGGACAAAGTAGAGGCAACAAGTTTCGATTTTCAATATTCCAAAGAATAAAGATAGAAGAAAAAAAGGAGAAAGAAGTAGCCGCATAAAAAACATCAAATAGAAATTACATGTCGGGAATTGGCACACCAAAGAACATATGGCCTCAGGAAAGTACAACTGACCATAGAAAGACAGGAAAACCCGACTTGCACGTAACGGAATTTTAAAATGACTATAAATTATTTCCTGCGTTATAGAAAAGCAAAGCATTAGAAAGCAACAAATCAGGGGCACTAGAATCCCTATTTCTTCTAGGCAAAAACTAGAGAAATGAGATAATATCTGGAAAGGGAAGAGGACGACGTAGCGGAGAACTGAGTAAAGTTACCGCCACTTTCATGAGAAGATAAAATAGGCGACGCAGTAGGAGCTGAGGACCGGCAAGCAATATGGAAACCGGTGCCAACCATTCGCACGGACGACGACGAAATAGAGGCTCGAAAGACCGGTCGAAGAGGTTGCCGGCGAAATCGGCCGATAAAGACTGAAGACGACGAAGACAGTGACGCCGACGGAGAGTAGGAACTCAAACGGGAGCCACTGGTGATCGCTGCCGCCATAACTGTGCTCTTCCTCGTGGTTCGGGACGGAGTTTCGAAGTGAACCCGTATGGTACCTTCACTACAAGATCAGCAGAGAGAGAGTTTAGGGTCGGGGCAAGCTCTACATGGTATTTGATGTGTAATTATTTAAATATAGAATTATGCAAATACAGAACAATGTGCTGCCTGTATAAATTTCCTAAATTTAAAGTCATTCAATCAATAAAATTTACTTTTAAAATATTATATTTATTTTTAGTATATTCCTTCAATACTGGATTCAATCACTAGAACAAGCTAAAATACCTCCCCAACCCCACCTCCACAATTAAAAAAAAAAAAAAAACTTACAAATACATTATTGTACAACCAAAAAGTGGCTATCTAGATTATCACAGATCGAACGGCTTGTTCCATCCATTAATAGGAGCTGGTTCTCATGAGTGGAGCAAAAAAAAAATGCCTTCGACTCAACACGACATACAACTAGAAGTGTCAGGAGGTTGAGCACTAGAGGCCAAGCACCAAAAATCGAACCCAAGAGGTCAAGAACCAAAGGCCTTTCACTAGAGACTATGCGCCAGTGGCTGAACACTAGAGATTGAGTGCCAGAAATCGAGCATTAGAAATCGACCAGTCTGAGTCGGATGTTCGCATTAACTTTTGATGTCACACATTTGGGATGTTCATTCAAACTTATGGGACCATATTCTATTCATGTGCAGAATCTCATTACCTAAAGACATCCTTCAAGACTTCCTTATATGTGTTTAGCCAGAAAAGCGGAGTTCTGCTGGGGCGCACCCGTGCCCTAGCCTTGGTGCACCCTCGTCGGTCTTATGTCTAGTGCCCCTGTGTTAAGGGACCGGCCCACCCACACTTGGTTATGCCTGACATATTAGAGCCAGGTGCCCGAGCCCAAGGACAATGAGCACGGAAAACTACATCAAAGTAATAGCGCCCCTGGGCACAACAGGCGCCCCTGCACCAAGGTTATGACGCCCCTATGCCCGAAGGCTTGGCACTCTCGTGTATGGATGCTAGCACCCCGACTTTAGTCTGAGCCAAACTTGGCACCCTCGTGCCAGTCTATTTTTTGCTTCAGTTTTTGTGGACCATCTTGGCTGAATCAAGCCATTAGGGGGCCTATTTCTAGATTTAAAACATGAAAAATGAGGCCATGAAAAGCGTTTAGCCATCAATCTATAATTATGGTCAATTGCATGCCTCCATGACACTTGGAAAGGTGGTCATGACTATAGGAGGGTGGACTTGGGAAAAGCTTTTTCCCTAGATCCCTTTTTGGTCTTCTGAGCTCTTGAACTTAAAGTGGGTTGAATGGACAGGGTTTGATGTGATTTTCTAGAGTGGAGAGCATTGAGGAGTACTCGATGAGGAAAATTTTTGTTCCCTGATTTTCTTCTTCACTTTTCACCTTCTTATTTTTTGTCTTCTTCTTCCACTTCATCTTTTCGTAAGGTGAGTGTGAGAGAGTATGTTTTTTAAAGAGTTTCTTTGGAGGAGGCAGTCTTCATCTTCATCCTAGCATGAAAAAAGCTCAAAAACGCAAAGAGAGTGCGTCACCAACTATCATGAGGGTGAGACTTCTCTAAAACTTGAATTTTATTTTCTCTTAGAAAGTGTTATAGGTTTTGTGTAAGAGAAATAGGTTTAGGCTGATTTAGAGCAAGTCTTTAGGTTAGGAAGTTGTTTTCTTGTGATTCTTACATTTCTTTGAGTGTTTTTCCCAAAACCATAGCCCTTTGACCCATTTTTAAGACGAGATTGTACTAATGTTATTGTTTTCCATGGTAGCTTCATTTGGACATTTGAAACCATTTAACCTAGAGAATGAAGAAAAACAAATTGATCTTCATTCACTAGGCTAAGAAGGTTTCTCTTATTGAGAAATCTTTCATAATAAATCATGCAAACAAAGGTAACCATTTTCTTGCCTCGCACAACAAAATGTTGGTAGACTGCTCCATACTTGAGCATAGATCAAAGAGAGATCATTAGGCAAAACTTGATTTGCAATCAAGTGAGATTAGGTTCATTCTTGCACGTATGCATTTTCATCTTTGTGACACATAGTATGCGAAGTTATTTTTAGCAATACATGAAAACTTTGTATTTAAAGTTATGTTTGTGATTGCATATCCACGTGCATGCAAAAAATTATATTTGTTATGCCTACATATTTAAAATTAGCATAGAAAAATATTTTTGGTTTAATGCCTTATTATTTTTAAATATGCATTTAGCTTGATGCTAGCATATTTGAATATGCATGTAAATATTTTTGCTTGACGCATATATTCCTAAATTAATTGTGTGTGAAATTACTTTTTTTTGGCGTGCTTATTTTTCGGCATTGGACATGTGTATGAGTCATATTTGACATGCTTGCATACCACATTATGCATTGTTTGTCATTTGAATGAGCATTTTGGTTGCCTCTCGGGCAAGGTATAATCTCCACTAGGGTTTCCTATACCCGATGCAACCAAATTTAACTTCATTTGTGTATGTCATGTGAGTGTAGCTTTACTTACGTTTTCACATACACGCTTAACAATTTCATCATGAGCATATGTCACCATATGCCTGGGATGGATACATGACATATTAAGATGGCTAGCTCATGTAGCACTCGCTCATCTCGTATATCCACAACATGGATCGTAACAACTAGTATATGACCCGACCCGCAATTACGCAGATATTTTAGTTATCGAATATGACCAAACTTTTGAGCCAATTTATATTTAGCGGCTAGGGAGAAAAAATATAATATTATAAAATTTAGATTAATAGTTTTCTCACTATGAGTACTACGCAAGTATATATATCGTTTCAAGTAATATAGAGTTTTCTTTAAAAACCTTAGTATTGATCCCACAGAGAAATTAAAGGAAAGAAGTAAATTTAGGAATCTTAACTATGAAAAACTTTTACTTACGACCGCAGAAAATATTTAAAGTTGTTTATGCAATGAAATAAAGTTTACTAATTCGTACAAATGCAAATTAAAAGTAAATGTAGAGTTTTTTGAAAATTCAAGATATATATAAAGAGATTTTTTCTTTGCAAATAATTCATAATCAGTGTATGATTTGAAATGTTTAGAGATTTAAGTGTGGTGTTATGACAAATAGGAGCATGCTTAATTTTTACCTCTTCCGAGCATAAAGAGCTTTGGTGAATCTAAAGTTGATGTTATCATGTATAGTAGTGATAGGTAGGTTTCAGTATCTCACTCCAAAATTACCCACTGTGCCCTCTCTATAGGACCTACCAATCTTTAGACCAAATTGATAAAAGAATCTAGCATGTCCTTCTAGAAACATTAATTCTATGCCCATCAAATCTTATCTCCCTATCTACTTGCACTCCCCCATGAACGATTGTCATGACTTTCTAAAGTAAAATGTGATACTCACTAGTTAGTGAAATCTTAGCACTCTCGAGTCTTTAAGTTTCTCAAAAAATTTTAACAATACAAGTGGCCAAATTGTGAAGTAAATGAAGGACCGGTGAAAATATCATCACAAATTTTTTAAATAGAAGAAGTTTTAATCAAATCAAAACCACCAGTTGATTACTTCATATTGTAAGGAGAAAGAAGAAAACTACTCATAACACTTGGGTATAACAAAATAAAATACATTTACAAAACATAAATCCAAAGTACAATTCATAAGGAAAATATACAAATACTTAACTAAATTGTTTCCCCAAGCAATCCTTTAAAGTTTCCTGACTTTTCTAACTCCAATAGACTCTCACAAGACTCACAAAACTCTATAAATCACAAAGACTCATAAAACCTTACTAAGGTGGCCGCCCACTCTATAGGGTGCCTCCCTATCTCAAAATGACTCTAAAACTCTCTTTAGGCATGTAGAATTAATCTATATATAGCTTCAAAAATCACTAAGGGTTGCTTTAGACATCTCTTCCAAATTTTGCCTCATTCAATGGATCTTCTAGAAATCGAATCTGGTGTCAAGGTGCCAAAACTGTCATGCTTAGGCGCCAACCGCTATCTTTATCTGGTGCCTAAGTGCCAGTTTGACTGGTTTTGACAATTATTTTTTTTGTTTGGTCCATTTTGCTCCTTTTTTATGTATTTTTGCTCCTTTTTGCTCTTAATCTCTTTTTCTCGCACCTGTAATCAAAAACACAAAAAATACCTTTCATTAAACCATAATATCTTCAAAAATGGGTATAAAATGTGCATAAAAAATAGATAATTTTAAAGTGGATCAGTATACAATTTCGTAGTAATAGTTGGGCTATGTGGTTGCTATCACTATACCTAGCATGACTGCAATTCTACATAGACCATAAGTTGCCTTTTTTATGCTATCATTTAACCTCTTATGATTGTACCAAATGAGTAAGTCACATGTTTTTACACATGTGATTAGATATGAGTGTCCACCTAGCATGACACTTGTGTCAAAACCATCATTTTGAAGTTCGAAGTGATTTCTCACACCTCGATAGTGCAGTCACATTGTTTCAAGTTTTCATTTGTGATTGCTTACACCTCGATAGAGCAATCATGGTATGCTAAGTCATCTTGCATTTTGCATGATCATCACCTAGTCTACCTTAAAGGTAAATCATTCGTATAAGATGAGTAATCTAATGTTGGTCGCAATGCCTTAATAAGCATTGCTCACAAGGATATCTCAAAGAGCAATGTGAATTATCGCATCATGATCAACACGTGTATGTTTATGTTAAGGTTCTAAGATGTCTAGCATGTGCCACATAGGTTTTACTTTCACTTAGGGGCTATTTCAAATAAATAAAGTCATAATCTTACTATTTATCATATTTTAAACCTATATTAAAATTAAATATCCATAGCTTAGACCATATATAAGGTCAATCTTGTAAAGCATTTTTTTGAACAAAATTGTCATCTTTATTTACATGTATTAGAATTCTTAGATCTTTAGGATTGGACCAAAGATGGTGACCTGATAAAAAACTTGCACTAGCCTCAGTCAAACTTTTTGCACACACATAGATATATGTATTAGGACAACCTTGTTTTAGATTCTTGCTAGATAAGGTAAGGTGTATTTAGATTCTTTTTTGTTCATATG